ATATCACCTCCATCATGCCACACCTTACCTCTGATGATGGGCTGTCCCCAGACAACTCGAGACCATAAGGATCCTTCACTTTTTATCTGTCATCCTCTTCCTCCAGTGTCCTCTGTGCAAATGACAGGAAGGATGACGGACCTTTGGTACGATTGCCCAATGTTTGTCCTCACAGCAGCTCCACAATTTGTAATAAAATCCATCCGGGAGCAGCCCTGCTGTCCCTTCAGTGGCCTTGGCCAGCCGTGTGGAAACCTGCCCGGACCTGAATCAGCCAAAACCTGCCTGGAAATCAAATCTGCTGCCACATGTTTTGAGCAGCAAAGCGGAGTGAGCTGCCCCTGCTCCCTCCAGGAATTGGGGCTGGGCTGAACCTCTCCCACCTCACAGACTTCCAGCTCAGCAAAGGCACCAACAAACAAGCCAGCTGCTTCCAAAGCCCCTGAAATACAAGGATAAGAGTGCTGCCTGGAGAACCAGAGAGCAGAAATTCAGCTGTACGTCTCCAGAGCAGCATTAACATTTATCTGTGTTTCACCGACTGCAAAGCCATGATTTCTCCCACATGGACTTTACCCAGCCAGGAGGAAACCCTAAATTTAGATAACCTGAAGGTGGACATCTGAGCTGCCTTTCCTTTCAGGGCACTCAACAGCTATAAAGCTGATATTTGGTCTTGAGGAAGATATTCCCAGCCTTGAGATTTCTTAAAATCATTCACAAAATGTCCTGTGGAGACAAACATCCCATTCCTGTGCCCTTCCTTACACAATTTTGGCATCCCTCCTGGGCAGCAGGGTTTCTGGTTCTCCTGGTTTCATGGCCAAAAAGTTCTATAAAGTAGAAGCTGGTGACACTGTCAGCAACACATATTCTCTTACATATTCATTTTTATCTGAGTAGGACATTGTCTCATGGACACAGATGTTGCAAATTCAGGACTCCAAGACTTCACAGCACTTTGAGGTTCCTCCTCTTCCTTTAGTCCGAGGTGGTTTTAAGCATTTTTAGACATATGACTCAATTTAAGAGCAGAGGTTTCGTTGGTGCCTCTCCTTATTTCACTGACCATTGAAAACTCTATCATTCCACAGTCTCTGTGCCCCAGATGGCCTCAGACCACCACATCTCCCACCAGCCCTTCTCTGTTTGTAAACAGCAGGTCCAGCAGGGCTCATAAGCTGTGACAAGAAGCTCTCCCCCACTCACTTCAGGAACCTCCCAGGCTGCCTCTTTTTATCTGGATTTAGCTCCCAGCAGACATCTGGCAGGTGTCCTGCTAATATCCCTCACCCAGGCCCCAGGGAGGCAGCACATCCCTGTGGGATGGGTCAGTTTGGCACACAGGGCCCTCAGTTCCCCTCAGAAGGGACTCACCTACTACAAATACCCTTCTTTTCTTCTTTACATCTGAGGGTGTGATCTGTCTGACTGACAGAGTGCAACTGGGAGACCCTGCAGACAGACTTCTGTCTCGAGTGCCACCTGCCTGACCCTCCAGATCCAGGGCCTCGTACCTGCTCTGTAAGGGCACCTAGGGAGCTGATGGGGATCAGGAGGGGATTCTTTTAACTCCCCAAGCAGGGACCCGTTTCCATTCCCCCCCCCCACATCGACAAGGTGTCTGATGGTAAGAGGGGCAGGGATTCCCTGACTCCTACTGAGCTTCTCTCAGGGTTGCAAGGGTGGAACTCCAGCAGTCGCTCTCCCTAATACTCCTGAGCCTTTCCACTCCTTCCTTAAGCTGTGCCACCAGACAGAGCAGATCCCTCACCTGTTCACACAGGGGTCTTTTGCACTGTACCAACACCCAACAGTCCCTGCAGCCATGCCCTGGAACGCTGCCGTGCTCCTTGGGGGGCTCTGCCTGTGTGTCACCACACTCCTCGGGTGTCCTTGGGCTCGAGAACCTCCATGTGCAGCTCGGATCTAAAACTCAAAGCTTACCGTGGTTGCCGCTGTCACCCCTGTTGCCCCTGTCGCCCGAGCAGGGGAGAGGCAGAGTCTCAGTCCACAAATACTGAGAGGAACCAGGTTCCAAATATTCCCTCAGCGAGATTATGGCACAAAACGAGGCCAGCTGCTGGATTCCAAAACGATAATTCAGCTTTATTTTAGAACAGAAAGAGAGCAGACACGAAGAGGGAAGATAGAAAAGTAGTGTTATAAGTAAATGAAATTAGGCTCAAATATAGTAATAAAAATAAATATATAGTATATATATGAAATATAGTAATAAAAAAGATTTATGTAAAATGCAAATAAGCAAAACAGGGCGCTGGGCGGCCAAGGAGGCCCCTGCTCCACTCACGGCACGCAAGTTGCAGTAAGCAAAACCAGTAACTTTTATTCCCTTATCAGTTCCCCTCCCATAGTCACTTGTTATCCTTCTATTGGATCCGAGTTTGCAGGTCTGGTTCTGGTTGACTTCCCTGCAGGCCCGTTTCAGTTGCCAGGGGCTTTCCTTTCCATAGTTTAAATTACTCCTTAGTCCTTGAGGCCTAGTGTGTAGCTTAGTGTGGAGGTATCTCCAGATGTCCATCTTGGATTTTTTGAATTGTTCTCGTTCTTGACCCTTTGATCCTTATCCTTCTCTTCGTTACTTTATGCGTGTGCTATGAGACAATAAGCTCTTTATAAAAATAAGATACAAAATACTTATTCAGCAAGGCACAATAATTTGTCTTTCCAGTTTAAGAACTGCAAGCTGCATGACTATCAGCTTACAATGCTGACAGGTTAATGAACCATTCTGCAACTTACAGTCTCCCAACCTTAACAGAACATTGACTATAATAACATATATATGTATATAAGAATATAACATGCAATACTATATAGGTATATAAGAATATAACATGCAATACTATATAGGTATATAAGAATATAACATGCAATACTATATAGGTATATAAGAATATAGCATGCAATACAATTTAATGAGTAAACTACTACTACTAATTTGATGAGTAAATTAAACTACTACTACTAATTTATTACAATTCCCCCTGTTTATTTATTCATAAATTTGCTCATCAAATCTTTCTACAGCTTCTTTGGCTGCTCTCCCTTTATGCCACTGCTCATGTCTTCATAATACTGCTTGGCAGTGTTAAGCTCCATATTGTCAGTCTGTTCTTCCTTTTTTTGTACTGCCATTCATATTCTCATAATTTTGTTTTATAGTCATGAGTTGTATGTTTTCAACCCTCTCCCTGACGAATTTTGTTACTTTATTAAGAATGCATGGGCCAAAGGTTAACACGGCTCGTAGTGTTATCAAAGGCCCTGCTAGGGTAGTTAGTAAAGGTGTTAGCCAGAGGAATGGATTATGCCAAGATTCAAACCAACTTTGTTGTGTTTCCCTTTTTTCTTTTGCTCAAGTCCATTATGTAATTCATGTGGGGGTACCTGCGGTTATCAATTCCTTAATAGTTTTCATATCATCTAATCAAATAATATTCCATTTCCACGGTTGGTGCAAATTTTCCACAGTGGTTTTTACAAGCATCAAAATCAGAACAAGGATAAAGAATTTGGCCATTTTAGTCATTAGTAATTTAATTTTCTAGCATCAGTGGTATCAGTAGGAAAAAAGTAGGCTGCTTCTCTAGTGGTCTTGTAGCCTCCGAGGAGCAAATCAGTGGGCAGGGTAACAGAGTGGCAGCAGGTCCCACAGCAATCCCCCCGTGCCATCCTGGGCACTGCCTTAAATACCCTCACAGTGGCAGACCCTTGTTTGGTTCACCAGTATCCAAGCAAAGTTTGCCTGGTACCTGGTACCTGAGTGCATTGGTTGGTTCTCCAATATCCAAGCAAGAGTTGCCTGGTATTCCTTATTTGGGAGGGTAAGTCCTTGCCATGTACTTGATTGTAACAACTTTTTATCAAAGGACCATCTTTCTTGATAAAAGTCGCTTGACTGGGTGCCTCTGACAGCTTACTGGATACCTCCTGTAGCTTGTTTTGTGCCTCCTGTAGCTTTGGCAGGCAGCTCTGCTCCTGCAGCGGCCTGGCCTTTGCAGCAGGGCTTTTTAGCTCCGTGCTCCAGGCAAAGGCAAAGCAGATCCCACCTTTTATCAGTCCTTTATACAACCTCAGGTCCAACCCTTGCAGAATGGCAGAGCTGCTGCATCCCATTGTCGCTGGAAGGCACCAAGTCCTGGAAGTGTTCAGGTAGGAAAAGGCCTTAAAGCTGTTTCTTTTCCTTCCCACAGCAATGTCTGCAAGGAAGGAGGTGCCAGATGATCCCCTCGAGGGAGGTGCTGGCCAGGGTGGCCTGGCAGAGACATGGAAGAGACATCTCACTGTGCTGGAGAAGGAGCTGGGAGCTGCTGGCACAGGTGAGGGGACCAAGTGAGGGACCCTGCAGTGCCTGATAGCCCAGCCCAGGCCAAATACCACCACCACTTGCTCCAGTAGCTGCACTGGGACCCCTCTCAGCCCACAGTTGACACCATGGCCAGGGGCACCTGCACTCCCAGTCTGATTCCAGTAGCACCCAAATCTGCTCCCACCCCAGGTGCCCCCAGTACCCTCAGTCCTGCAGCACATGCTCCCTCTGCCCAGCTCTGGTTCCTGTCCCTGGCTCCATGGCTGCTTTCTCAGCTCTGGGGCTGGGGAGAGTTTGGGTTCATTCCCTTTTGGTCTGCAGTTTTCCCAGCTGAGCAGCTCCTGATTAGAGACCTTGGCTGGGATAAACCTTCCCAGCCCTCCATCCATGGAACACACCACGCTTGGGTTCCACTGCTGCCTCCCTTGTCACCTGCCACTCACATTGGCTTCCCTGGAGCTCCTGCTTTGTGGATTCGTGCCCTATTTACTGTCCCTGGAGACAATGAAGGAGGTCCTTGACAAGACCCCCTGAACTGAGCAGACCCTTTTCCTGCCACACCCCCTCCCCCAAACCCTGTCCCAGGGCCACCCCCCTGTCACAAGCACAGACGCTGGAGTCACCCCCAGCTGGGGCTCCCCTGGACAGAAAAGACACAGGGACCAGGCCGGTCCAAACCAGCTCCTTCATTACCAAAGCCTCCAAGGGATTACACTGAAGCAGCTCATCAGGTTGGTGCTTCCTAGTGCTGCCTTTGATTTCCCCCTGGAACGTGGCCTCCATCTTAGCCATGGGACTGATCACTCAAGGAAGCGTTTTTGTTTTGCTCAAGGACAAAGCAGAGGGAAATGTTTACGGCAGGGAGCGAAGCAGATTCTGGTCTATCATGGAGCAAAGGAGTTTCTGAGCGATGGCTGGAGTAACGTGCCTTATTTCACCCAAATTTGTGAGCAGTTGGATACTATTGTCTTCATGTGGCTTGAGAGAGTAAGCACTGAAGCAGCATTTTATGGACAGCCTTGTACTCTGTTCTTCTAAACTGCAAAGCCGTGGAGGTTCTTCCTTCCCATCTATGTGGTCTAACGCTTGTCCAGCTCGGCAAGTGCTTCCTGCTTGGTAATGCTCTTCCAGGCCTCAGGGATTTCTCCTTTGCCCTGAAATTTCCCATTGTACAAGGTTTCTAGATCTTTTCTGAAATGACACACAAACCATTTCCAGTACGCTTGCATGGATGGATCAGGAAGAATCTTCCACTTGGAATAAGGAGATCCTGCATTCCGGTATGTCCTGTACGGATACATTTTGTGACCATCAAAGCCGAATTTACAGTCACTTGCAATGCTGCTGGAACAAATATCAATGACTAGGTGCTCCGCTCTACGCCACTTCCGTCCTGTCAAAAATTCTGGTCGATGGAAGACAAGCTGATGGTCCCCATCGTGTCCCCGCATGGTGTTCGTGCAAACAGCCCCACAAAAGGGACACTGCTCCCAGCATCCCGAAAACTGCTCCGCCAGGATGGTGTGAGGCTGCCTTTCAAACCAGCTCAGATCAGCAGCAGCAAATTTTCCCTTGAGCTCGTCCCTCAGGGCAACCAGTGATTCTGTCATGGCTTTGTTCAGTAACTCCATGTCTGTGATCTCCTGATGCTCAATGCACTTCAGGTCACTTCTGGGCAAGTTGATCACCTCTCTCAGTTCCCAGCAAAATTCATCCAGCCACACAGAGGTTTTGCCCTCTCTGTCTTTTCTGTCTTTCACCTTTTCAGTAGATGAAGAAACAGCTGACAGGATGTTTTCATAGAGAAGATCAAGGGAGGAAGCTAAAAACTTCTCCAGCCTCCTGTGCTCATCTAAACAGTAACTCTTAACACATTTCTCAATGTACCTCTGAAAAAACTCTTCTGGGGTATTAAGGTACTGCTTGAAATACTCAAAATTTTCTTCTTGTGCCAGGAATCTCAGGACACAAACCTCCAGATTTGCTCTGTTGCCTTGGAAATCTGGGAATCTCCCCTGCATGTCTCCAGCTATGGCTTTAGCTGTCCTCTCAAAGACAGCATAGAAGAGAGGTAAGGCAATCTTGTCACGAAGGAAACCAGCAAAAGCTGTGACAGAAATGGCTCCTTGGCAGGAAAAACGGAACTGTGTGAAGAAATACTCTCTCTTGTTGCTCAGGTATGTGACTGGGTCATTTGCCTTCTGGAATGCTTCGTGCATGGCTTTAAACCTTTTGCCTGCCATTCTGCACAGGTACACAGATAATTCTAGGCTGTAATTTCTGCTAAAGGCATATGGTAGATAGC